CCTAAGAATAAGTGTTGTAGTTGTCTTCTTCTTCCTTCTTTTTTTCTTTTTATTTTTTTGGAGCAAACCCAAGAATAAGTTTGTGAACCATTATCAAAATAAAAAAAAAAAGCCGGGGACTCTAATCTAAAAATAAAAAAAGTTCAGGACTTCCTTAGGGACCGGCCAAAACGAAATTATCCAAGCGAGTCCACTTCCTAGCATCATGCCAGCGTTGTTTTCCCAGTTTCCATGGCCGAAAATTTCAACTTTGTTTCTCGAAGCTTTAATTCCATCTTTAAATTTCTACATGATTGTTCTCAGAAAAGAATCTCATAGCCACTAAAAGGGTTAATGCTCACTTACTCAGAACTGGATTATTGTTTGCCTCTCCCAGCATCCATACTGAACTAATCTTCACATACGCCACATGCCCCAACAAGAACAATGTTAAAACCTTAACCAGATGCTTCAAATTCGTAGGTTTCCAAAACCCATTACTCTTTAATGTACTGATATCAGATTTTTGTAGAAATGGGTTTGCTTTTTTGGCCCTAAAGACTTTCTCTTTCATGCACTTCAATGGTGTTGCTTTGGATACTTATGCTCTGCGCAGTTCCTTGAAAGCTTCGTCTTTTATGGAGAATGTTAGATTCGGTGAGCAGATTCATACCCATGCGAGAAAGACAAGTTGGTTGTCAAGTGTCTTTGTGGGTAGTGCTCTGACTGATTTGTATGAAAAATTTTTGCTGATAGACAATGCAGCAGTTTTGTTTGATGAAATTCATCTTAAGAATACTGTTTGTGAAAATGCACTTTTATCAGGTTATTGAGAGGCTAAGCGGTAGATTGATGGACTTGAATTAGTCAGGACGATGCCTCAACTGAACTTGGACTACGATCATTTCACTTTATCAGCAATGTTACGGGCATGTGCAGGGTTATCTGCAATTGAATTGGGCAGGCAAGTTCATGCATATCTGATTCGAAAAGTTTATGATGTGGGGAGTGATGTGTTTTGGCAGAGTACATTGATTGACATGTATGGCAAATGTGGCCTGGTGGCGAAGGTTTTTCAAGTTTTCAGTTTGTTGGGGCTAAGTTTTGAAGGACAGAAGAAGAGGGATGTTGTTTTGTGGAGTTCCATGCTTGGTGTGTACGGTAGAAATGGGTACTTTGAAGAAGTGATTTTGTTGTACAAAGAGATGCTGAAGGAGAAAATTAAACCAGATGAGGTGGCTTTTGTGACAGTCATCTCAGCTTGTAGTCATACGGGTCAGGTGAAACTAGGGATTGAATATTTTGAGTCCATGACTCGTGGCTATAAGTTGGTTCCTGGACCAGAGCACTATAGTTGTCTGGTTGATTTGCTTCGTAGGACTGGCAAGTTGGATAAAGCATGGGAGGTGGTAAATGAGATGCTTCAAAAAGGGCATGACAATGGTAGTATTTCCTTGTGCTGTACTTTGCTTAGTGCTTGTGTGGATCTTGGTAACATTGAGTTGGGTAAATTTGCTGCTCAGAAAGCACTTGAACTGGATCCTCAGAATGCAGGTATTTATGTTTTGTTATCCAACTTGTATGCTAAGTTTGGAAGGTGGGATGAGTTTGGTCAGTTAAGAGAGATGATGAAACATGGAGGGTTAAAGAAAGATGCTGGATGTAGTTGGATAGAGGTCACCGATTGAGTTGAGCTGGACTTAGCCCTCAGAGTGACATATTGTGACTCTGATTTCTATTTGACTGGATAGAACGCAGACTGAGTATCTTCTGAACTCTGACATATGAAGTATTCAAATGATCTGCAAGTGACACTTCAAATGTCAAATAGGAATTAACTGGAAGCAGCCAGAATGAACAAAGTGGTTTGAGTGACAATTTTTTTTTCATTGTCTTATAAGCTAGAGCATCTATGGAAGGTGTTGAACAAATTAGATCTTGAAGCTTAATGACATAGAAGTTGCTCTCTTTCAGATAGCCGCCTGCCCTAAAGTGACCGTGAATGTCTTTCTGAATGTTTAACCATTAATTTGGTCATTGAAATGATGTTGCGTACAACCACAAGAACAGATTTCGAACCCAGATTCTCCATGAAATATGTTTTCAAGTTTCATTCCAGGAAGAAAACATGGTTTTACGTTTCCTATTACATCATTGTTCGTGGTTTATGTCCAGAAGAAGCTCAGAGATGCTGAAATAAGCCTCCCTATTGTGTATGGCAATGCTGCTTTTTGGCTTTGGGAAAAAGGCGAGTGAGTATTGGATAAACAGTTATGACCTTTTTTTAAACTGCCATCAGTTGCTACTTCAGTTGTTTCTTTGATTTGCAGATTATAAGTCTATTAAATGCTTGTTTATGTTACTCTACTACATATATCAGGTGGCAGTCTCGTAAATGGAAGGTATATTTTCATGGGGCGAGAAACAAGGATCTTGATGTGGTGATAAAACTTGCTGTTTTCAGTTGCATTCAAGTTTCAATAACCCCACGAGAGTTATGGAGTCCGAACCATTTGAATTATGGAATCAGGATGGGGTGAATTTGAGATTGCCATTACACTATTTTGTATTTTCAAAGTGATGTTGTGACAAGCCATTGAATTCGTGAGTTATTTTGTCCTGGTTTTTAGTGCTGATTTGTTTGGCCTGTTAAAGAGATAGGACAAGTTTGATGTTGGGCAGCCAATTTTGTATTAGGACATTGTTTTATTCCAAGTTTATCATGGTTTAGACAAAATAAAGAAAAATTTATTGAATTAGAAACAACTTCTTCTAGGTTAATAACTGACAGCGTCTCATCTCAAACACAGAATTCTTGCTCTCTAGAAGTTTGTTTGAAGCATGAATAGCTTTGCTATACCTGCTAATGTGTTTTTGTTGATGAATTAATTGAGAACATAAATAAATTCCATTTTATTAGAATTAATCATGAGACTTGTGCTTCTTCTTCTTCTTCTTCTTTTTTTCTCTTTCTTTTTTCTTGTCCTTGATCAAATGGCTGAAACATTGGAAGTGTATTGATATTCGCTAGACATGTTCTAAATGCACAAATAAAATGTTTGTTCCTGATCTTTTCTTTTAAAACAGAAGTTATTTTGATGACTGGAGTATTATGGCAGTAATACAGCGTTGAATTCCCCTGAATCTCTTCGACAAAATGCATTACACTGGTTCGGTGGGTTAAGAGTGATGAAATTGGGATGCTGGGGACCAAGACTTCATCGTTCAGCATAAGCAAAAAGAGTAGATCTGCAACTAACTTGTTTGGCCAAAATTCCAGGACAGTTCCTGACGCAGAAATCATTATTATGAATGATCCTCCTTTTGCTAAATAACGGCTTTTGTTTCTGTTTTCCTGGAGTAGGAGATACATGGATGGTGAAAATCCCTTATAATAGTAAGTCACTGAAATTACTTCTTCAGGAGCCCTTCTCCTGCACTTTCGTTTGTGATTTCTAGAATGCTTTATCCACAAGAATGGTTACCTAAGGTTGACATGATTGCATTTAGTTTTTGAATTTGCATGATTAATTTGATTTTTGCAGACTCCATGGCACCTTTCTTAAGCGTCCGTTGAGAGTATTATGAAACAGATTACAGATATCAGTCTAGCTGAGGGGCCTTCCCTGGTACTTCCATCTGTCCTCTGAATATTGAATGTAAATGGAAATGGGGCCATCACCTCTGTGGCATTGGCATGGGTCCTGCACGAGCTGTCCTGGTCATCTCAATGTCTACCATTGTCATTCTCATCTTGATTTTGCACAAACCAGCTACATCCCCTAGCTATCTTTAAATCTTAGAAAATTCTCCTAATAATTCTCTTTTGAGGTAGGTCCAAATTAGATTAACAACTACATAGGCCCTTCTCTACTGTAGTTTTTCATAATCAAGGAACTAATCTATTATTAATATTCGGCTTGGTTGTCTTGTCAGCTGTTATGTTCATCCTTTCCTTTACACTGCCAACCTGCTTAGCCATCTTTCTCCTGCTTTCTTGAGCCCTTTTTTCTGCTTTTCTCATAGTCAAGTAATCTAATCATGTATATATATATACATATATATATATATATATATATATATTCACAAGTTTCCTGACTGAGTGTTTATACGCCTGAATAACGAAGTTCCTTTTTTTGTTAAGTAATCTTGATTGTTTCACCGACATGGAAATTAGTAAATGAATAAATTGCCTATGTGCTGACATCTTGGTGATGAAATGATATCACCAGCTCTAATCTCATTTTGGTTTAAGTAGTTTATACAAATATCTGGAACATGTGCATTTAGACGGTATCATCTCATGCAGTTATGTTTTTCCAAGTACCATGATATCAGTTTGCATTTCTAGCAAGAGGCAGGAGATGATGGAAAAGGACAACCCTGGTTTAATCTGGAGTGTGATAAAAGAGACCAATACGGTAGTTTACAGTTTGAGTGATAATTGGGGAAAGTAGGTCTTGAAGCCATTTTAAGTAGTTGGAATGATCTCATAGGACCTCACTATGTCGTCTTTTACAGGAGTCTTTGGGGGGCAAGAGTAACATGGCCTTCATGTGCCATACAAAAGACAAGGTCGTTATCAACCATTAAAAGAAAAATACCCTTATGATCTCCATGACTAGGCACTGCACCACATTTCGGTGGAAGAAATGGTGGGCCTTTCTCGTCCCCTATTTTTCCCTTCATTTCTCACTAACCATTCTCATTCACAGAACATGCAAGAGTGTCATCCGAAGACGGCAACCTCCTAGGTAAACTTGTTTACTCTTTCTGTTCCTTATTTATCTCAGCAGTGAATTGTTTTTTTTTTTTTTCCCCTTTTTGTCTTGGGAGGAATCTTTTAGGAGTCTAGAAAGTTGATGATATATTGAGAAAAGAGTAAAACAAAAGGAGTAAGACAGAACTTTTGGACATTTCAGTACCGGACATTGAAATTAGGCCTAAGAACATGGTGCCAACCTATGAAGATATCAAGGGTAAAAGCTAAAAATACAAGTTTTTCTAATTGGTGGTTGAGGTTTCATCAGGATCACGTAGGAATTCCCGTCTCTGATCTAGAATTTCTACTTTCTAGCAACATAAAATGCTCTCAACTGAATAATCAGACAAGCATGAAACCAGAGTTGCTTTTCTTGTTAAGTTTAATGTTGAGAATACAGACATCCTAGCATTTTTGAGTAGGCAAAAACTGGTTCGATTAAAAGACATACATCTTATCCTTGTCCAAAACAATAATGTCTGAACAGGAATTTGAAACTTCTTTCTATTTATATACTTCAATAATTCACTTCCAGTAGGACATGATGAGACCCATGAAGTATAAGAGAGAGAACACATACAGGTCTAGGTTTATAATTAATTCCATATATATATATATATATATACACCGGAAAAAACCGTATTAATTTATCCATGTTCAAACAGGGTACTAGAGAATATAGAATACTTGAGTACTCTGATATTGGAGAAGTCTTTAAATATTTTATTCTTTAGATGGATACTAGGGTTTTAGCAGCTAGATTTATAATTCTCATGAAGCAGAAGACTAAACTGAGCATGAAAAAACAATGACAGCTGAGGTCAAAACCTGCAACTGTATCAGTAGAATACACATGGATTTCTGAAAAAATTTGGGATGTTACTGTTTGAGAAATGTTGTTTTTTCTCCCCCCACTCAGTCCACAGATCACAAGTCCAACAATTAAAAACCACCCTCTCGAGAGTTGTATTCTTCAGTTCAATTATTGGTCCGTGATTTCAGGTGGGTAGAGAGGGGAAACCCTCAGTAATCTGAGATTAAAACCTGGAGAAGTTCTAAATCTCTGTAAATTGAAATAAGCTTATAGAGGGAAACAAAAACACTAGGTACGTTCAAAAGAAAATCTTAATAAAAAAAAATTATTCTATCAATTTTTTTTTAGAAAAAAAATTATTCTATCAAATTAAATAGGCCTTGCCATTAGTTAGCTTGGTGTATATTAAAATTATTTCCAATCTTTCTTATTTGTTATAAGAGTCAAATTTAAGATTTTTAAAAATACAATTTTTAGTTTCAAATTAATCATTTCAAAAGACTAACAATTGATTAAGTAAATTTAGTTTTGTTTCAAGCTAAATAAATGAGGAAACATGAAAGTATTATGCAATTATGTAATTTGAGGAAGGATTATGAAAGTGGAGCCTTTTTTTTCTTAATTAATAATCTTTTTATCAACTATAAAATAAAAATTTACAAAAATTAGAATTAAAAAAAGAGGACATAATCTCATGAGGACCATCATGGTAAAGAAATCACAAGGGGTTGGGCTCCCCATTGTCCTTTGTACAAATGCACATACCCCAAAACACCCGTGCTGTCCTTTTGCATCCACACCTCACATGACCTTTCTTCCCCACCCCTCTCTCTTCCCCTTTCTTCATAAATACCCCCCATTCTTCACTCCATTCCCCATCGCCACTTCAACTTTCAACTTCTCTGTTTTTCATACCCACCTCAGCTTCTTCCCCTGCCGAGAAATGGCGATCAGGAAATCCTCCAAACTGCCTCAAACCGCAGTACTCAAGCAGATTCTCAAGAGATGCTCGAGCCTGGGGAAGAAGCATGGCTTCGACGACGACGATGGCCTTCCACTCGACGTCCCCAAAGGCCACTTCCCTGTCTACGTGGGTGAAAACAGAACAAGATACATTGTCCCCATCTCCTTCTTGACCCACCCGGAATTTCAGTGCTTGCTTCGACAAGCAGAGGAGGAGTTTGGCTTTGATCACGACATGGGTCTCACAATCCCTTGTGAAGAAGTCGTTTTTCGCTCCCTAACATCCATGCTCAGATAAAAAGATGAGTCCTTTGGTGGGGGTTGTGAAACAGGGGGAGTTTGCCTTTCAAGAAGAAAGATGATCACCAAGAGATGTAACTGCTTCTCTTTTTTTAAACATCTTTCATCCTTGGCTTCTTGCTCTCCTGTTTCTTCTTTCCTTTCTTTTTTTTTTTTCTCTTCCTGTGCTATTTTGATCCCATTTGCCATTTGGGTTTTTCTATGTAGTCCCTAGTGAGTCTAACTTTCATACCCAGGAAATTTTTTCTGGGTTTGATTTGTAAAGAGATGCAAGATGTTTTCCTCACAGATGTGTGAATTAATTTGTAACATTTTCTGTGAGAGAAGTTAATGTTAAGGAATGCAATGGTAATTAACTACAAAAAAATCTCTCTTTCTAAATCTCTGTTCCATGCAACTTTCTTTGATCCTTGTTTTCCGGTGGGAATTTAGGGCAAGAAAGGACATGTTCTTGCCTTCTTGTTTAGTCAAATCAAATGAAATGAAGGACAAGCCCCAGCAACATGTGTTTGTCAGAGAATGTGGGGTACTTCGAGTTGTACGGTTTGTAAGGATTATTATTTTCAAAGTACATAATAAGTTAGTGGTATGGTTACCCAGTGTTAAAGATCATTAATATTTTATGTTTTATCTTGTTAAATTATTTATTGATTCATTTAATTTAAGGACAAAAGTGATGAATGTAATTTTTTTTTTAACATCGAAAAATTAGGGGAATGAGAAAATTTTTTAGGTTAATAATGAAAGTAAAACCCCTAATAAATAAAATCCAAGTATTTAATTTTAAAAATAAACTACTAAATCTGATGGTTTAGATGAATGTAATATTAAAAATATATATCTCACTTAAATTAAATGAGTAAATAAACAATTTAACAACATAAAAAGTACAATATTACTAGCTTTAGCACTTTTGCTGGGGGGCCATCACTGGCCAATATGCGCCCCCAATAAGAATATGGTTTTGACTTTGAAGGGATTGCATTATTTGCCATATGAACCACAAAATTCATCTCACACAAAATATATTGTCTATTAGTAATTCATGGCCTCATGGGATGAACTTGTTTCTGCCTTTAATGTTTTCCCCGCATTAAGGAAAACTGTAAATGATAATTATGATATTGGTAGCTACTGTCATCATCCTACATTAATGCTCCTCTGCATATGGCATTTACTTCTTCTTCTAACCCATGTGGCAAAAATTCTCCTTGTATCAGGACTCATTGGTGTGTTTTTATTTGCTTCAAATTTTGACCACCTCTCAAATGAAATGTATATGATAAATTAGTACCATATAATTGATTTGGTGTTAATTAAGTACCTAAAGTTTCATTTGATAATACTATTCGATACTTTAATTTTTAGTTTTGATGTCTTTTTACAATTTTAAAATATATAAAATTTTAATTAAAATAAATAGTATGTATAAATTATATATTTTTAGGATATTAAAAGACCAATAAACCAACGGTTGTAGTTACAGGCAAGCACTTCCAAACTAAAACTAAGTAGTTTAATGATAATTTTTTTTCAGTAAAAGTAATTAATAAATTCAATGGTAATTTTTTTTTAGTAAAAATAAAAAATTCTAAATTTGAATTGTATTACATATAAGAAAAGTAGATTAAAGAATGATAAAAAAATTATTTTTTATTGTATAACTTGAGATAAAAAAAAAAAACTAATTTAGTCAAAAATAAAAAATCTATATCAAGATTAAGAAATTTACGGAGCACTAATTCTCCCAAGGAAGAGAGTAAGCTAGGTCATAATTTGGAGACAACTTGTAACAATTCGAAGGTTTTAAGCATGTGAACTGGTACAATCTAACTTCAATTCAACTTTTTGTAATTTCCTCTGCTTCTTAAGTCAAAATTCAATTAACTTTTTCCCTGTTATTATTTTATTCTCCTATAATCCAATCTTCATAGTTTTCTTTCTCTGCAGCTCCGTTAGGGTTTCTGACTGAAAGTGCTTTTCTCTTTGGAAGTTTGGATATCCCCATCAATAATCCTAGATTATCTGAAAGGTAACCCCTCCTTCCTTTTTCAGTTGTGCCAAAAAGAAAAAGAAAAGGTAAAGCTGACATTCTTTGAGTGAAAGGAAACCAAACAGATTAGCCAACCATTAATTGCGCAAGGATAATGATTTAGAGATCGAAAATATATATGGGAAACAAAGGTCCAGTTCTTTTAAGCTATGTCGATCATACTTGGGATCCACATTGTCACATGTGGGTCTCACATGATCATATACTTGGGATCATATTTTCAATTTCGACGATGATGTTCCAACTATTTGAGTTTAAAGCTTTCAATTGTTGTACCTAATTTTTTAAAAATGGAATAGTTTCACTATGAAATTATAGTTCTCATGGCAAGGGCTTTCTCTAGCTAGTCTCAACATCATAATCAAACCTTTGAAAATAACATGCATTATACTCATCATGTGATCCTTGATAGTACTAACTGCTTTTTCACAAGCCAGGACCAGAGGGGGAGCAAAGCAAAGACTGCCTCTGGTTAACTGGTTCTCCCTCTCTTCTTTAATGCTCCCTTCCTCTTTTCCTACCGGCCACAAAGTCACTCTGACACTTCCATTCCAAAGCTATAACCTCCAACTCCCTGAGCCATATGTTCGATTTTTTTAATTGACAAAAACATTTACTTTATTAATTTGAATTACAACACCAATGCTCTGAGGGAATCTAATTTACTGCATTATGTATAGAATCCTTCTTCAGAATTTCCTCAAAAAAAAAGAAAAAAAAGAAAAAAAAAAAACCTATCCCCATTACTGCTCTCGGTGTTCCTTTCCTAAGTGCTATGCACTCTCCCTCTCTTTAATTAATGGTGATGGGTCTTATTTAATTCAAGCTAGAACAGTTTCCCACATGATTTTATGTGTTGAGAATCAAAATTAAGTTGGTAGAAATTATAATAAAATGGAAATACATAAGAACTTGAGTATAAGTTTATAATCACTTAATGTATGGTGTACTCTCTACTCACCTCAAACTATATTTTGCTTGATGATAAAATCAGGAATTTCTGGATCATGTACCTAAGGAACATTGGCAGTGGTATCTTAATTTGATTCTGATGCTTTTGTTTAGATCTGTGAAGGAATCAAATAATCAAGATTACCCCAACACATGAACAGGGCTCTTCTGTCCCTTCATGCTTTACAACTATATCTCAGTTTTTCAACCTTGTGGTCCCCCCATTCATCATGATGTTTTCTCGGTAGAAAAATCAACAATCTTTTACCCCCATTCTTCTTCTTCCTCTTTTTTTTTTTTTCCTCACATTTCACTTCTATTGGTATGATTTGCTATGGCGATTCTCTTGTTGAACAAGATTCATATATCTTAATTTTAACCTAGATAATTTGTCTTTAATTGAACCGAAAGACGAACATAGTCAACAAGCTAATTAATGTAGTTTGAATAACATGCTACCTACCCCAAAAAAGAAGGAAAGAAAACTTGCTGATGCTGAGTAACTTAAACTAAAATTTTCATCTTGACTAATTGAGATCGACTGGGGACAGAATTCACATGAATTTGCTATTGGATTAAATGAAAAGATGATCGGGTCTTGTCTTTCAAATCAATATATAAACAGAAATGAGTTGGAAGATTTTAAATCTGTAGAAATACAAGTCTCCAGTTTGGTAAGCTAGGTCGCATGATTCCTTTGCATTTTGTCCCCAGAATGTCCCACCACCACCTTCAACGTGATTTCAGGGAAGCATCTTTCATCGTTTTAATTTCACCCTCCAATAATACTTCCCTACAAATCAATACGTAATTTTTTTTTATTAATTTGAACCTTAAACCTTTTAATTTGAAATCTTAACAAATTTTATTCATTAATACCTCCACGAACTGATGAAACAAGTTGGTTCTTTTTTTTTTTTTTTTCATTTTCTGCCTTGAAACAAGTTGGGTATTACCCTATTACGTTATTAAATTATTGAAAAAAATGATATATAAATGCTAACGACTTAAATAATTTAGTAGTTATTTTTTTTAGTGAAAATAAAAAATCTTGAATTTAAATCATATGACATTCAAGTAGAGTCTAATAAGAAGTGAGAGATGATTGTCTCTAATTGTGTAACAAAAAAAAAAAATGGTGTCTGAATGCATGCAGCTAGGTTAATGCAGGCTTACCTGTTTGTGGATTTGTTGTTAATGTCGTTACGTTTCGTATTGTATATACACGTACGTGTCTCTGTTCCAGGCAACATACGCTTAATTGTGGGGAATTCCTTGTTGGGTTAATAATTGTTTGGAAGGGCCACTCAATGTGGGCATTAATTGTCAAACCGTTGGTTTCTCTCGTGAAACTTCAATAGTCCTCCATGCAATTTCACACCAATCATACAATAAAATTAATATCAAAAAGTTTAGTCGAGTTAATTTATATTTATTAATGAATAATAATAATATTTTGCATTGATTTTAAGGGAAGGGTGTGTAGGGTTCAAATCATGCATAACAAGCACTAACTTCTTTGCCAACGAAAAATAAAATTAGACAATCAAAATAATAGAAAGCTCGATGTGTTAGTGAGTGTTGTCGGTGGCAAATCCGAAGAGAAAAAGTTTCGAAAGGTTAAAAAAAGGAATAAAACGACGTCGTTTTAGTGAATTGACATATGTCTCGGTCCCCAACCAAGTTGGCTTGGCACATCATTTTCAATATAGGAGCATAGCCTTTAATTTTCACCAAATTTGTCCCAAACATATACGTAATAAGGGCATGGGACCTTCATATGAATGAACCCCTAAGGGTAGGGACAAATTTTCCCAAAATAAAATAAAACTTTGGAGAAATGGAGAACTGTACGAATCGGTACTAGATGGTGCCTGCCTGTGCTTAAAAAAAAACACAAACACATTTTGTCAGGCCTTTGTAACATCACTTACAAAATTAAGATTACAAAAATATAGATAGCGTAAAAATTTTAAAAATTTGAAAATGACAGATGAAAATGACGTGTTAATCCAATGTATGGTTAGATGTCTCCTTGTGGGGTCCATGACAATTTTACTACGGTGGTTCAGTAGCACGTGATCACTACCCCACATCTCATGCATTTTTGGATTTTTTTTTTTAAATTTGAAAATTCCCTTTCTGTAAACTTTTTATTAAGAGCCCAAGAGGCCCAAGCCCGTATGATTGAGTTGGAAAAATGGAAATGTTGAATCCTTGGGTTATCGGGCGGGTGAATATCAGGAGGAAAACTGAAAAGCCTATTACTAGGGGTGAGCATGGGCAGGAATGGACCAAGTATTTGCTCATATCTCTACTTAATTTTTTTTGAACATTTTGACACGGGGTGGGTTCGAAACCCGCCCAGGGGAGGGGGAAATGTACCTATCAAGCTGGCTAATGCCAGTGGGCCTCTAGGCCGAGGTGCATATCTCTACTTAATTTGAATAGTGATATGTATGAGATTTTAATATTCAATATTTATTTTGATATTAAAAATTTATATTTGTTGCTCAATTTGTAAGGTATAAATATACCTATGATATATATGTATATTTGTTAAATTTTACACTAAAAATACATAAATGAATATACAACTGTAAGTTCATACATATAATACAAGTTTTTATATAAAACAAAATACATGAGTATATATATTCACACATATACAAGTTTATATATACAATAATAAAAGAAATACAAACAAAAAGCCATATGATTTTTCTTCAATTGAATCTTCACTATATATATATAAACATAAACATTTTAATTTCATAGTATTATATTACAAATTAACCATATAAAACTAAAATATAAGTCAAGTATATAGGTTAATTATATAGGTTATGTATATGGATCAAATATCTAAATCATATATGTACGTTTTTTTTTTTTTTTTACAAGGATAATGGTTAGGAAGTTAGTATGAATTAGTTATTAGCAATTGAGGATTCGATCCCCAGACTGGATGAACATTCCACCCTCTCAAATAAGGCGCGTGGTCATCAGGCCGCTTTTTGATGAAGTTTACGACAGTGGTAGAATTTGAAATTCCGACCACCTCACCCAAGCACTTAAGGCTTGGGATCGAACCATTGGATCTAAAGGTCCGGTTCATGTACGTATTGATTATAATGTCTAATATTTATCCGATACTTAATAAATATATATTTTTTATACTAGATATTTATTATTTCTTTATAAATATGAATAAAATATTCACTTAAATAAATTAAATAATTACAGATATAAGATATATATATATATATATAGCCGATGCTCAATCTTACCCATTACTACTACGGACTGCGGTCCATATTGTAATAAATAAATCAGAAACTTTCTCTTTATAAACTTTACCGGCCATGCTGGCCTGAATGCACGTTTGATCTAACAGGCCTATAGTACAAGTCTTCTTTTTTTTATTTTTTTTACAAGAGAAATTATAATATTAAGTTAATATCTATTAAAAAAAAATCGAATATGAGACTCGACTGGTGAAGCAAAGGGCTCTCCACCTGCTTCTCCAAAGGGAGAAGCATGGCCACATGGGAGAATGCTATAGTACAAGTCTTTTTAAAAGTCTAAATAGTATCTCTTGCTCTTAATTATTCATTATTTAAAAAAAAAAAGCCTTTTTATTTTGTTTCTTTTATATTTCTTTTACATAAACTCTATGATAGGAGAGTTTTGAGTGAAATACTCATACCAAGTGTAGGATAGTTTAATATTTAAAAAAGTTCATTACGTAACATTTTTATATGACTTTGTGTTTTTTTTTTTTTTAACGGGGGAAATTTGTAGGGAAAGGGGAATAAGACCTGTGATTTAAATCTAGGTCATTATGTTCACCACACCCATTCAAAGGGATGGCCATTAGGTCAGCAAAGATTGAACTATATGACTTTGTTTGATTTTACTATTAAAAACAATTAATTATAATTAATAATTAATAAAATAATTAATATAAATTATTTAACAACGATGGTACTACAGGATAACTTTTTTATACCACTTTTTAATATAATTTCACATGTCATTAAATGAGTAAATGTATTTAATATTACGGATCTCACATAAATTAAAAAATCAATCATTTAAATAACACATCACACATCAGGTTGTACAAAAAGGTGGAACAAAAAAATTATGGTTAAACCCCCTTTTTGGTCCCTCAACTATTGTACGGACTCCTGATTAAGTCTCTTAACTCAAAAAATCCCTGACTTAGTCCCTACTGTTTACCATTTTACCCTAATTTGGTCCTTCCGTTAAAAATCTCTCCACGTGTACTGTTAATTCACAGTAAGATGATGACATGTCAAAATTTTAATCCACATGGAAGACAACATGGCAAAAACTAGTGACATGGCAATAAAAATTTTAAAAATTCTCTCCTTCCTCTTTATTTCCTGAACCCAGAGCTTGGGATCCTCAAACCCAGGCTATGGGTTCCTTCAAACCCAACTGGGCGTTCCTTGTTCCCTTTCTCCTTCCTCTTCCTTTCCTTCTTCATCAAACAACACCCACAAAAACACAGAAATTTTTTTTTTTTTTTGTTGAAGAACCCAATGCCTGGGTAACCCAACACCGGGTTTGAAGGAACCCAGAGCTTAGGATCGTCGAACCCAGGCGATCTAGGTTAGATCGAACCCAGGCGGTGGGTTCGAAGGAACCCAAGCCTGGGTTTGATGAACCCAACGCTTAGGTTCGAAGACCCAGCTAGATTCCAAGGAACCCAAGCTTGGGTTCGTTCAAACCCAACGACTGGGTTCGTCGAACCCATCTACTAGATTCTTCGAACGAACCCAAGCCTGGGTTCTAAGAAACCCAGAGCTTGGGTTCTAGCAAACCCAACGACTAGGTTCATTCCCAAGCGTGGGTTCCGACAAACCCACGAGGAACCCAACGGCGATTGCTGGGTTTGATGGGTTCTAAGGGGGGAAGGGTAAAGAGAAAGGGAAAGAGAAGGGGAAAGAGAAGGAAAAAGAAAAAAAGAAAGAATTTTTTAAAGTTTTATTTTTCATATTATTATTATTATATTTTTTTCCCACGTGTATAATATTTTGTCACATCATCCTATAATAGTTAATTAATAGCACAGGCAATGAGATTTTAAACAGAAGAACTAAATTGGGGTTAAAATGGTAAACAGTAAGGACCAAATCAGAAATTTTTTAAGTTTAGGGACCAAATCAGAAGTTCATACACTAGTTTAGGGACCAAAATGAGATTTTAACCAAAAAAATACAAAAATCATTTCTCATTATTTAATATTATGACTATTTTTTTAAAAAAAATTACAAACTAAGAAAATCAATTAAACTAAACACACACTACATTGCCATTCATATTTTTTATTCTTGTCCTTCCACTACCAAGAAAAAGTCACTCAGTCGGCCAATTGGCCTGTAGCCCAATTGGTTGGTCCCAAGCTTTAGGGTTTGGGTGAAGCGGAGGTCAGGGTTTCGAACTTTGCCACCG